ATATTAGTCTAGGACTAATTTGAATCATATTTACACACCTACATATATGATTAACCACAATTAACCTTGACTAAAGATTGATTCTCTAATGAAGCCTCAATAACATCAATCCTTAATAAATTTCTTATAAGTCAATCCCCAAAGTCATACCATTTCATTAGTTCATTTCCTTAATATAGTTGCACATAGTTAACGAGGTCCTATTGACTAAGTGAATAGGTCTTAGTCCCAACCCCCCATAGTGTTTTGGTAAGAAAAGAATATCCTTGCTAACCAAATGCATCTTTTTCTTCCCTCTAAAATTCCCCAATGAAAGTCTATGCACTTGGCATTAGGGCTGTTCACAAGCGGCTACAGGCCACCCATGGCCTTATCCATTACCTACCCGTTTTTAGCTAAACGGGGAACCACTCACCCGTACCTACATACACCCATTTTCACTCATTTCAAAACGGGTATATGCGGGTTTGGGTTACCCATTTAATCTGCAGTACTTATATTCTTAATAAAAAACAAAAAAAAATATCATTCCATTCGATTCATGAGACAAATTAGGATTCAAGTAACACATTCAAACCAAATTTAGTGTGAAAGCAACTCGAACTTGAACTAAATCCAGTAAAATCGAAGCAACTCGTTGAGGAGATGGCTTAAGTCAAGGCAAATCGTGGAAGACAACTCAAACTAGACCAAGAATGGAGAAGATAACAGAGTTGAAGTAGATATGTGTGAAGCAGATTGATGCAAATTTATGCAAAGAGAAGCAGATCTGGAAAAGCTAAAGTAAATCTATGTGTGCACGAGTCAAAGCACGTCTGGATTTGTGTGTTGTCTAACGACGAGGCTCTCTTGTAGCAACACAAACGATAAAAGGAGGAGACACCGAGAATGAGAAAAAGCTAGAAGACTCAAATAGTAAAGAAGAGAGAAGAAGGGGTTGATGCCAAGAAGAAGAAGTTAGTCAAGTCACACTGATAGTCATAATGGTAATTGCTGATGTTGGTCAAGGGGCTCAAGCCGAGAAGAAGCCAGAAAGCTGGAGGGGAATCGAACAGTGAAGAGAGGAGGAGACCGAAGTTAGGGCTGGGTTTGGTTGGGTAATTGAGTGGTGGACTAATGGTAAAGGCTAAGTGACTAAGTGGGTCTAATTTAAAAAAAAATATACGAGGGGGGGTACGGGCCACCCGTGCCCTTACCTATTACCTACCTATTTTGTATTAAACAGGTGATCACCCACCCGTACCCGTTTTCTCCCTTTTATATACAGGTATATATGGACCTGTTTAGCAACAAGTCGGGTGGGTTTACGGATCTGTGAGTAAAATGCTCATCCCTACTTGGCATCAATCTCATGACACAGAGACGTGGGCAACTTAACGCAAGAAAGTTGACAAATATTGGTTGTGGACAAGGCAGACTTAATAAGAGTCTTCTAAAGGCTTGAGATAGAGTTAAAATCTTTCAAGAGACCAAAATTGATCTTTAATATATTACTATATTACATTTGGATCACAATATAAAGTATTAATAACTAATTCATGGTTTTCAAAAAACATTAGCTGAAATCTAAATTTCTTAAAAAAATGGTACATCTTTTAAATTATATCCTTATTAAATATCCAATATAAATGCCTTGGTAATAATAATTAAAATTTTAATGTATTATTTTTTAAAAAGAATAATAAATAAAGTAGGAATATAATTTAAAAATTAATTATAAAAATTATTTAATATTTTATATTTTAAAATAAGTAAAATTTTTAAAAGACATTATATATTGTGGTTAAAGAAGTACCTTAAAACAAGTACCGAATGAATCCGAGTTTCTTTTGCTTTCCATGGCCACAAGAGAGGGACACGTAAGTGGCCAAGCTTCCTACTGGCTACAACACATATGTGTGCTTTTTCGTTCTACTCTCTCTGTGCCAAATAATAAAAAACTTTTAAAAGAGATTTACCGTTCTAAAATATAAAATATTTTAAAAAAATTAAAATTTTATTAATAAATTTATTTTAATATTATCTTTTTTCCTTCTCTATTTAATACTAATTAAGTATGTATTTAAGGTTATTAAATAAAGAGCATTTTTTAAAGTTTACATTTTTATTTTTGAAAAATAAGATCGTTGAGTATATTTAATATGAATTATTGGTATGTGAGATTTTGTTTAGATATGTTTTATAATTTGAGATAGAGGGAGTATATATTTTGTTCAATTCATCTCTTTAGCACCACCAAAAGAGATTGCATGACCCAATCCTGAGCCTCACCACCCCTCCACAATATTGCATATTACTCGCAATATTTATTTAAGCTTATGTCAAATTTGATTGTTTGTGTGTTATTACTTAGTAGGGCGTGTTTGTTCAATTTTTTTAAAAAAAGTAAAAAATCTATAAAATTTCTATTATTTTTTATATGAAAAAAAATAAAGAGTTCTCGTTATTTCAATAAAGAAGGGGTGAAATGAGAGATAATATAATAGAAATATAGAGATATTATAAAATTTAAAAATACCTAAATAGTAAACTATTTTTATAAACAACATTACAGAAGGCAATTTGACTGCAATACTGCAGCAAAAAAATTATTTCCTCATGTGCTACATTTTTAAAAATATTTTCTCATACACTATAAATTTAAAAATTGATTTGATGTATACCGAATTTCAGAATTTTTTAATATAAAAGTATGGAACTTGGTTTCATACTTTATTAAAAAAAAGTTGATATGACAAGTTAATAATCTTCTTTCTTTTTTTTCCCTGCGTGGATAATTATTCATTTTTCCTGTTTTTTATTTTATTATTTAGGGTCTTGAAAAATGTAAAATATTACCATCTCCTACTTAGATTAATATGAACTCTCGCTATGTGTGATTGTTATTTATACAAATTCGGATATGAATTTTATATTTAAAATATTGCATTTCACATGTGACATTTAAAATTCATATCTTTAAAATTCTTTATTTGGGTAATTTAAAAAGTTTTAAGTGAAAGAGAGAGATAAGTTAATATTTAAAGCAAAAATAAAAATTGAAAGTGATGTGTTAACTTCTACTCCCTCCATTCAAAAATGTAAAGAGTTTTTAATTGAATCTTACCCTCAATAAATTAATTAACTATTTTTCAACTAATTCTATTTTTCATATTACCCCTATTAAACACTTATAATAAATATAAAGTTATTATTAATAATGACACTTTTGAAAAAAAAAGCAATGATTATACCTCAAAATATTAAAAATGCCTTACATTTTTTAACATTCAACTCCTCAAAAAATGCTTTATATTTTTGAACAGTGAGAATATTTTTTAATTGATGAGAAACAAGAAGTAGAGATAAGAAGATATGGAGACTTCGATAATAAAAATATGAGAACGAAATGTTTGAAGTGACTGAAATTTTAATTAACTAATAGCACGAAGAAAATTTAAAATTGTGGAAGAAATATAATAAAAAATAGATAAAATTGGCTTTAGAACTTAAATTTTTGTGTACCAAAAAAAGAGATTTGATCTAATCCAAATTCTTATTAACCCAAACACACTCATATAAACTCATTAATCCAAATTTCTTGTGTTTTTATTGTTGATGTCTCCATGTCTTCTTATATTTACTTCTTGTTTCTCCTCAATCAAAAAATAAAAATTAACACATCACTTTCAATTTTTATTTTTTTTAAATATTTGGGATAATTATATTAAAATTTTACATTAGAAAATTAATTAATGTAAGGTTTGTTGACAACTGAAATAAATTATATTTTATCAATGGATCTTGTAGTAATTAATTTTTTTGTGAGATTTGGTTCTAATTCTCCCAAATATCAACTTATCTCTCTCTTTCATTTGAAATTTTTTAAATTACCTAAATAAAGAATTTTAAACACATGAATTTTAAATGTAGATTTGAAATGTGATATTTTAAATATAAAATTCATATCTGTGAGAGTTTGTATTAGTTTGACAGGAGGTGATAATACCTTCAAGTTTTCTAAGACACTGAACAATAAAATTTGAAACTATTGGCTTGTCATATTAATTTTTTTTTAAGCCAAGTTCCATACTTTTATACTAAAAAAAATTTTTAAACTGTATGTATCAAAGCAATTTTCAAATTTATAATATGTTGGAAAATACTTTTAAAAAGATAGTATATGAGAAAATAATTTTTTTTGCTGCAGTATTACAGTCTGATTGCCCAATCAGAAAGATATTATATAATCTGAAAATTATTAAATAATAATTACTTTCTATGATTGTAATCAAAACAATTTCCGATATCTTTCGTTTTCATCCTATTTTTAGGGAAGAGAAGCCACAAGTTGGTTGGGCCATCATTTACTGGTACCAGATGGTGATGATTGATGAAATGTTGAATCATGATTGGTAACAATTGATAAGGGTCGGTGGCCCAATACTTCAATCTCTACATTGTTCTTTCGGTTCCATGTATGGTGGGCTTCCAACAATTTAGGGGGAAAATAAAACCATGAGCTTCCGTATAGATAAGCCCACGGCGCAGTTATCTGAAATTCAAAGCCTTGAAGGGTGCGTTGGAGACATGGAAAATTTCTTTAGAGAAAAGAAAAAGGGAGAGGGAAAGCTCTTTCCTCGTGTTTTGCTAAATAGCAGTGACTAAAACATGTTCTCATGTTTATGAGAAAGATCTTTTCTCCGTTCAATCTCTTTCTTATTTCCATTTTATACCAAACAGGTTATAAGCTGTGAAGGCAAGTGAAATGGTTTGAAATGGCATCGCTGGCTAATTTTGCGTAGACATTTCTAGTTCTCATGAAGTGTTCGGGAGCATCACAAGTGAACCGAATATAGAAATGGGAAGATGCTGTGTGTTTTTACATAATTACATGCTCAAAAGCTTGTTATGCTATTATTTGGATTAAGTTGGTCGCTAAATTGAAGCATGCTTAGAAGTAAAGCAGAGATAACAGGACATAAATACCACGAGAATTATCTTGTGGGAAGACAAGTCTATGCGTTATTGATTGCGATTGAATAATAATTCAGGTGTACAAGCTCATCTGTCTTTCTTTTCTTTTTATAATAAAAGAAAAATAATATTACAGAGAGTTTTTTTGGCTCTGAAGTGTCTTTGAAGATGTAAGATGAGTAATTTCTATCACCCTGTAGATGCGAGTACGTGTCAAGGTCATCAAACAACGGATAAGTTGAGCTCTCCAAAAAGCAACTCGTCCAAAATAATTTCATTTCCACATTAGATATGGCTTTCAGTTACTGGTTGTCGCTACCACATTCAATCAACCACGACTCTGTCGGCCTGCTGACTAACAAGCGTCTCCTCAGTTCTCTCTTAAACATATGGCGATCGCTGAGTTTTGAGTCCTTGAGATCCCACTCCCAGACGCGTGGTCTTCAGCGCCATTGTTACATGGGATCCACCTTTTAATTAGCGTTTACCAGTTGGTTAGCGGATAATTATCTCTCTTCATCCGGATTCCGGACCCAACTCATACGCAATTTCCATCTTCATCCTGGATTCACGTACGTACTTTGTATCATACAGTTTAATGTGCAGATAATCAAATGATCAAAAGATATTTTACAGGAACGAAAATGTTCATAAGGAGATCCTGAATTAAATTAAGTTTATATGCAATTGTAAACTATAAATCACAATCCCCAGCAAAAGGAGGAAAATAGTTTCCATAATTACAATAACCTCCCGGAGGGAAATCGGAGATAATCAGCTGAACTGAGAATTGACCTCGCAAACCGATCTGATTCGCTGGCCCTATGTCTCCTCACGGTTTTGTAGCCCTTGATCTCCTCTCTGAGAATCTCCTGGTCAGCCTCCTCCTTCACTTCTCTCACAAAATCCCAGAAGCTCTGTTCCGCCACCATCCTCCTCATCCCTTTACTCTCCTCCATTCTCTTCAATTCGTATACCAATTCCACCGCTTCGCCGAAGCTCAGACATCCCAATCTCTCTCTGAACTCCTTCACTCTCACCCGCACCTCTTTCATTATCGAAATCCAATCCTCGCCCACCAAATTCTCTATCTCCTCCACCAATCTGTTCCCCTTCGTGGATTCGCAATCGGGTTTTCTTCCGATTTCGTCAATCAGTGCCACTAAAGCGTCCGTCTCCCCCAACAGATCGGCGTTCATGAGACCTGACACTCTTTCTCCTTGCGATTCTGCATCGGATGAAGAGTTTGATCCCAGGAAGAACCCTAGGGCTCTGGAGGTGCACAGCAACTGCTCCGTGTACTGGGCGTACCATCGGACCCAGGAAGACAGCTCCCACGATATTGAACTGCTGTTGTCTCGGAAATTGGAGAGTTTGAGGTAGTTCCGGCCGCCGGAGGCAGGGTACACGGAGAGCTGGTCCTGGAGGATGAAGGTGCCGTGCTTGATGATGTGGTGGACAGCGATGAGGCACTTGAGGGCGACAGCGGAGTTGTGGGTTTTCTGGAGGCGGTCCATCAGGAGTTCGATGGCAGGGGCGGCGGCGGCGCGTGAGCCGTCGCCGAGGGAGAGGAGGGTGGAGAGGTGCTTGGGAGTGGGAGGAGTGAAGGAATCATGACTGGTGGCGCGTAGGAGGGAGAGGGTGGCGCGTTTGGAGAGCAAGGCAGCTTTGCCCTGCGAGGCCTTGTCCTTCATCACCCCTATGAGATTCTTCAGCTTCGCCATAAGTTCGCGTTGGCGGTGCGCAGAGTAACGATGGCTGCAAGAGAATTAAGAGCAGCAAACTGTTATAAGTTATTGGCTGACTTGGCGGCGTTGATGATCAAGCGCTGCCCCATCCCATTCCTCCGATTCAATGACGAGGTCAAATTAATATCACCGTACCTATGATGGGCTTTCAGCTCAGTATTGCGATCATCTCCTTTTGTCAACCATACTTCCAAGAGAAAATTGTGCAGCTTTTGATGACATATTTGGTAAAAGGGACAAGTGTTGAGCTTTCCAAAAATTCATCGTATATCTATAACCAAGATTCTATAATAAGCTTCAGAGTTGGTCCTCTTCTTCTTCCAAATTTCTAACCATTTGACAATTTCATTCAATTCTTCCAACTTTCGAAACCTCGTGTGGCAGTGGCAGTGTAAATTTTCTCGCGATTAAAATTTAAAATTATAACCAGGAAAATCCCATTGGTTGGTTTTAAAAAGCATCACAGTGACAGGGTGACATGCTAAAAAAATTGGAAAGAAAAATCCCAATGGGGACATTTTTTGTTCAGTGTGTTATTAAATGTGTTCACATTGGTGCTTGGGAGTATGATGATTTAGGATTTGATTAGAAAAATTAATGTTAAAGTAAAAAGTTGTAGAGGTTGTAAGTTTAGGTAGCAAAAAAAGTAATTATGTTGTTTGACGTTAATTATCTAATGAGGTTTTCAATTGGGATTATCGCATGATACTTCTTGTCGGTGTTAGGTCAATATGATAAATCCAAACTTCCATTGTTTTCAATTTTTCTGAAAGATAAGAAATCACATAAAACTTTTTTATTTTGAATAAATATTGAAGTTTGAAAAAATTACTGGTTAGTTCTAACCAAACTCAGAAAAAATGTCTTAATTTGAAAATAAGAAATACACAATCGTAACAAATGGGGGGAAGACTTGGATACTTAATAATTAATAATGTTTAGGTGGCTGATTGATTGGAATGGGCCATAGGTGGCTTATAAAAATGAGTAACACGCTTATGAAAAATTAATTTTCTGTGGACTAATTTTTGAAGTTTGAATGGTAAACACATACATATCGTACGTCCAGATGTTACAGAATAATGGCGGGAGATAAAGGTCAGCTGATTAAAGTCGTGGCGAATTCTGGGTATATGTGAAGGGTTCGTTTAAATTTTAGTTAAGTATAATAAATTATAAAAATAATTAATTAAGTGATAGATTTTAATTATAATTGATTATATTATAAAGCAATGTGTTTGGATACTATTTTTTTAAAATTAATTTTAACAGAATTAAAAATATTTAGATAATTTAATCAGAATCAATTTTAGTTATATAAATTACTATATAATTTAATTCTTAAATATTAAACATTAATTTTTTGAGGATACAAAATTTAAAGTTTATTAAGGAAAAAAAGAGAGAGAAGAGAAGAGAGTTTAATTTTATTTTTATTAAATTATGTACTTGTTTGTAATTTTTTCGTGGGCTTTCGTTTGTAATTTTCTCCAACGTTTTTTTGATAAACTTTTGGCAAAAGCTGATTCCATCAGCTTCCGGAAAAACGCGTGTTATGTTTCAGAATTGATTTTTGTCCTTTTTCAGCTGTTTGGGTAATTTCATTTTAAAAATCAATTTCAGGCAAAAAAAATCAATTTTGAAGCCTAACCAAACGGGCACGAAATTAAAGACAGCAGAAATTAAGTGGGTCCTTTGGGACTTCAAAGAAGCAAGTAAACATGCATGGCGGTCTCTTTTAGTATTACTCGCACCACGTTCCCGCCTGCATTTCGGCAATGACGCTAACGCATCCAGCGTAATCTAAATTAAAGCACCTTTCCTTTTTTAATCAATCCGATATTCTTAGTCCATTTACATGTGTGACTTACCTGGCCCTCGCAAAAGTAGCATCGTTTCAACTCTCAAAAATAGGCGTCATCAACGAGCATAATCTCTCTTACAAAGAATTGTTACGATGCTTGACCTTAACACCTTATCTGACATACGCCAAGGAGCTGGGTTGTGACATGACCCGCCACAATAAGCAATTTTCTTGGGTATTGAAGGGGCGTTCACAATATAGTAATGCAATGGGCTGGATCCGCTCACAGAATGGGTTGGACCTGCATGTCCATCAAACAGGATGAGTTCATCATCACGATAAACGTCATGTTTTGGTATATCCATGTAGCAAGAAACAAATAAAATCAAGGAGGAAAGGGCCACTACAGTCTTATCCAGTAGGCCCTGTTGTGGCTGATAGTGGGATTGTAGTAAGGAAAAAAGTGAGAACCCACGATCTATCTACAAATTAAAAGTAAAAAAGCCCACCTTACAGAAAAAGAAAAGAATATCGATGATAAAGAATGAAATGAAACGTGGCTTTCTGAAAATCATTTTGAGGAAAAATTAACTCATTATTGAAATTCATCGTATATTTATAACTGGGATTCATCGTATATCTCCTTTGCACCTAGTTTTGGCTAGTTCCCATGAAGAAGGTTACCATTAGCTCCTTCTTTTGTATTTTTTATTTTCTTTGAACTTCTAGCAAGTAAATCATCTTCTTCATTAGAGTGGGGATGGATGGATTGCAGTGACGGTCTTTTAGGTGAGAGCGAGAGAGCTACGCTATAGATATTCTGAAAGACAATTGGAATTCTGAAAATCATTTTAAGGAAAAATTAGCTTGCTTTCGTGACTCCATTCAAATCTAGAATAAGGAGGTCTTTTGGTATGGTGGAGGCTAAGAAAAGACATATTTTAGCTACACTAAATGGCATTTAAAAATCTAATGCTTATCCTTACTTCAGATTTTTGTGTCAACTTGAAACCTTTCTTCAATAGGAATTGGAAGAAATTTTGAAATGCAAAAAAATTAAGTGGTTTCAAAAGTCCAGAATTGATTAGATAAATAGTGTGATAGAAACACTAGATACCATTTCAAAACTACTGTGAGAAGAAGGAGGAATAAAGTTTTTATCTCTGAAGAATGATGCTGGAGACATTATAGAAGGTGATCATGAACTTCAGGATCTAATCTCTTGTTTCTTTAAGCAATTCTACAGTCTTGAAGATGCTCAAGGGAGTTACTTATCCACTGAATCCTCTTTTCCCGTTATTGAACATTCTCTTATTGATGGTTTGTCTACTATCCCATCCAAGGAAGAAATTTGAAAGACAGTTTTCTCTATAGGCCCTTGTAAGACTTTGGGATCTGATGGCTTCTCTCCAATCTTCTTAAGAGGAAGTTGGGAAATTGGGGGGGGGATCTTTTTTGTCAATTTATTTTAGAACTTTTCCAAGGCAAGGCTTTTGTTAAGGAAGTTAGTAAGACTTTTATCTCTTTAATCTCTAAAAGAGATAATTCAGAGTTGATTAGTCACTTTAGACCAATGTCTCTCTGTCCTATCCATTATAAGACATTGCAAAAATTTTAAATCAACAATTAAAAGGATATGTGGATTCAATTATATCACCCTTTTAGACTAGTTTTGTCCTTGGCCGTCAAATTCAGGATAATATAAAGACAGGAAATCTTGCACATTATGAAGAAATCCAAGAGAAATACAGGCCTATTTGTAATGAAAATTGATCCTGATGAGGTATATGATCTCATAAGATGGGATTTTCTCCAACAAGTTCTGCTTGAAGTTGGTATGAGTTCTGCTTTTATCTCCTTAGTCATGAATTGCATTACAATTGTCTCTTATAATGTTTTATGAAATAGAAATCAATTTGATTCTTTTACCCCTCAAAGAGGTCTTCGATAAAGAGACCTAATTTCACCCTTTTTGTTTGTTTTGTGTATGGTAGACTGTCTCATCTAATCAGTGATGCATTTGAGTTTGGTCAATGGCAACCCATTCACATTGCCAAGCAACGTCCTTCAATTTCCCATTTGATGTTTGTTGATGATTTGCTTCTATTTGGTGAGTTTATAGAGAAATAAGCTTCTGTTATGATAAAATGCCTTAAAGATTTTTGCTCTGCTTCAGGAGAAAAAGTGAATTTGTCAAAGTCTTCACTTTTTGTCTCCAAAAATGTTTATGCTGAATTGAAGGGCGAGATTAAAAGAATAGCGAGAATGAAAATTGTTGCAGTGATAGATAGATACTCAAGCCTCCCTCTCTCAAATGATAGGCGGCCTAGAAATAAATTTTGTTATATTGTTGAGAGAGTAAAGGCCAAACTTGCAAGCTAAAAGTCAAACTGTCTCTTTACAATAAGGAAAGTTATCATAAGCAAATTCATGCTAAGAGCAATCCTTCTGTGCCCCATGCAAGGTGCCAAAGTTCTTATCTTTATTTGTAACAAGATAGAGAAAATACAGAGAAGTTTCATTTGGGGAAGCTCACATTCTAAGGGCTTTCACCCAATCAGTAGGAAAAATATATCACTCCTTAAAACCTATCGAGGCCTCAAGGTTAAAAAAACTATCCTAGATTAATAAAACTTGTGGTATAAAGCTTGCTTGGAATCTTGTTTCTAGTAATAAAGGCTTTTGGGTTGACTTGTTGCAAGAAAAATATATGCTTAGATCTGAGGAGAACTTGTTGAATTCTACTAAAATGGATTTTCCTTTGTGATAGTTTATATGTCAACATAAAGATTTTGTTGAGAAGGGAACTAGATGGCAACTTAGGGATAAAGAATCTATTTTTTTCTTTAACTACTAATGGCTGTTTCTAAATAGAAAAATCAAAGATATGGTGATTAGACCACTTTCTACAGAGGAATCAAAGTCTAAGGTTACAGAATGGATACACTTTGGCACTTGGGATTTTATCTCACTATCTCTCATTGTGTTTTTAATGTGATTCTTTCCAAACTTATCTCTACTATACCCACTTCACAATTTGCTGGTAGTGATATTATGCTCTGGAATGGCACTTATATTGGGTCTTTTACTTTGAAAAGTGCTTATTTTATGATTGAGAAATCACCTCTAGTTTTTTTATCCTAATTTTAAATTAATCTAGAAATGGAAAGGGGTTGAGAGAATCTATCTCTTCATTTGGCTTTCTTATCACAACAAACTCCCAACAAATAAGTGACGTTCTTCATAGGCTGGGTGTTCTCCTTTTTGTTCCTGGTGTGAGATAGCAAAAGAAGATATTTTGCATATTTTTAAGGATTGTACTTATGCCCGTCAAATATGGTGTAAACTGCTACTCGTAATCACTACATTACTTTCTTTACTTTGGAGCTGAAAAATTGGATGGTTAAAAATCTTAAAGCTTCGTCCTCAGGAGTCTCATCTAACTGGAACTTAATTTGGGGTGTTACAATCTAAAAACTTTAAAAGTGGAGAAATGGTTGTACTTTTCAGCAAGATTTCCAAAAACTAGATGATCCTACTATGAATATACTTCTGACTTGGAAATCATTTGTGATGATTGAAAATTATTCATCTCATCTTTATGGAGCTGCTAATTCAACTGATAAATAATGGTACTATCCTCCACATGGGTGGCTAAAATTTAATGTTGATGATGCAATCTCTGTTACCTCAAACAAAGCTGGATATGGAGATGTGCCCAAGGATAGCGATGGTATTTGGATTGTGAGTTTCTTTGCATCTATTGGTCAATGTAGTCCTTTTGGAGCTGAAGAATGGATTGTTTTTAAGCGCATTTGTTTGGCATGGGATATTGGCTTCAAGAAAATTATTATTGAATTTGATTCAAAAAACTTGGTGGATTTAATTAATGATTATCCTAAACAACCATATAATGAAAGTCTTGTCTTCTTAGAGATCTAATATCTACTCAAATATAGCCAGAATGTTTGTGTTAAATTTGTTCCTCGTGAGCAAAACATAGCGGACTCCCTTGCGAAATTTGGCATTTCCAATTCCGCTCGTTTTGATTCAACTCCCCCATTTTTGAGGGACTTAGTGCAAAAGGATTGTATGGGATCAAAATCTCCTGAATTTTCTTAATTTCTTTGTATTTGGGCTCTGCCCCCTTTTATCTATCAAAAAAAAAAAAAACTCCAAAGTATGTGCATGGGCGCGGTAAACACGAGGACCCAGACAGCGAGACGGCACACGCAGTCCTGTCCGGTGCACATCCATGTGCCAAATATAGCTCTGAAGACACACGAGCCATGCGCCATGCCATGCTCTAATTTTGACTACATGCCAATCTATTTATATGGACTCTTCCTCCTTTTTGGCCCTACGTTTCTGGAGTTTACCCCAACACCCCAGAAGCAGAGCGTGACATTCTCGTGTTTTTCTTCCCTATGTACGTTCTACCACATATGGAGGCTGCCTCGTCCACGGTCGTTCGTGTCCATGAGCTGTATCTTTGGACAAATTAATTAAGCAGTGGAAAAATTAAACTGCATATTTGAGTGAAATGTAACGGAAGCCTGGGAGGGACAAGAGTGGAGGGAACAGGCTAGAAAGCAAAAGGAGAAGCACACTTTTTCTGGTTTCCTCCGCACACCACGCTCTGCTCCTTTCACATGCCTCCTTCACCTAATAACACTCCCGACTCCTCTTATTGCTGCGCTTTTCCTCTTAAAATTCAAAGAAGTGGGGTTTCTTCAATAATTGAGACAAAAGTGCCTTCAAGAATCTCCTGAATATACGTATTCTTCTTGTGCTTATTGGAGATGGCCATATTCACTCCAAGTTTAACAGTTGTATATTTAGAGCTTTTCGTGCCAAATCTAATGGCTTAATCATCAGGTGATGGCCCATTACAAGTGGCGGTGGTACGGACATCTCATCTATATTCTTCTCCTAGCTTAGACTATATAAAAACTATTCGCGTATAGTCTCTCGTACAAATCACCTCATCTACGTGCTCTCGAAAATCGGAATTTTGATGATAATCTTGCTATTTGTTCTATATATCCGTGAGAGAATACGGGAGCCAGTTTTCCGGATATTATTGATGATCACTGTCATAGTGTCATGCCTTCCGTCTTCGCCGTTCTAGACGGGAGCTCTTTTAAATATAGAATGCCGGATAATTATTTTTTAGGTAGGGACATGTAATTAACAGGATTATAAGGTCTTGGTTACCAGAATGAGATTGATTGAAAAAAAATAAAAATAAAATGCTAATCAAAATATAGAAAAAAATAAGCAAAAAATATTCTTAACAGAGAAAGATAATTTAATTCATGGGTTAGGAGTCACAATTCATAATATTTTTTTTAAGTGTCATAATTCTCATGCTTGTAATATATATTATTTAGTATTAAATTCAATCATGCTCAGTAAAAATTAAATCTTTTTTATTTTAATTTTTTCAATTCATTATAATCACATCTTTGTTAGCAACTAAATAGCATCTAAAGATAGGTAGGAATAAAACTAGCATGGGAGCGGGAAATTGCACTAATTTTCTCAAAACCGGGCTTCACGGCTTTTTGATTTTCGGTCAGATTCCAAACATTAATTAATGCTCGGTATTGGATTTTCTTGTGTTGCTTTTTTTTTTTTTAATTTTATTATTCAATCAAGGCCAATTAGAACAAATTCAATTTAATATATTAATCATGTGCAAGAATTTATACATTAAATCTCATGCACTCCAGCCTATTAGATGTACTCTCGAAGGAGAATTCATGTCGCGGGTGTGGGCTCATCTTGATCTCGCAGGATAGCCTGTCCCTGGGTTCTTTCTCTTTGGATCGTTCTGCTCCATGTTCGAACCAAAAAAACATGTAAAAAAATTCATTGGGCAATATAATTTAAAATAATTCAATAGGATAAAACATGAGCGGAACAGCTTCATTATTTTACCCAAGTTTATTTATCATCAATTTACCTCTCGGGATGAACCAAATATTTTTAACCCAAAAACAGAAACCGAGAATGACGACGGTGAGGCCGTAAGGACTTTAAAAGCACGTTAAGGCGCTTTTTATGGTCCCTATGACCATGAGCGTGCGGATTTTTGCTACAGAAGTGGTAATGAACAGTATAAGATGATTATTGTTTTTTTTTTTTTTTTAAAGAAACAGAGAGAGAAGAGAAGAGTTACTCAACTGCCTGCTCCGCATGAATTTGGGATCTCTTCACTCCTTTTCTTTCCATTTTTCATCATTTTTTTCATTCCCACTAATCATTAATTTTATTATTTAAAAAAAGTATTTAATAAAATAATTTGAAGGATAGGAATTGAAGAAATGAAAGAAAATGCAAGGGAAAAAATAAAAAGACCCCTCTCCCGCTCCGCATCCGCTATATATACATCCACGCTGGGTGGCATACATGCCCACAAACATACAGCAATGGACATGACCACCGTGGGCGCCGCCGCCGCCGCCGCCACCGTGGACTGCCACAAACAAGTGCGCTCGTGGAGGCTGCTCCATTCCCTGCTCCAACTCCTAATCCCCACCTGCAACTGCACCTTCCTAGAAGACGACAACGACGACGATCTCATCAAGCCCCGCACTCTCCCGGCCTCCACCATCACCGGCACTATATTTGGATATCGCAGAGGCAAAGTCAAATTCTGCATTCAGCTCAACCCTCAGTCCACCAATCCAGTTCTGCTCCTTGAATTACCGGTCGCCACCAACACTTTAGCCAAAGAAATGAGAGGAGGAACGCTGAGAATGGCTCTAGAGACCGCCACACCTGGCTCTTACTGCAACCTTTTGTCGACTCCTTTGTGGCGTGTCCACTGCAACGGGAAGAAGATGGGTTACGCTGTCAAACGGGCGCCTTCAAATAGCGATTTAGAAGCTTTCAATGTGATGCGTTCCGTTGTCGTGGGCGCTGGTACTATCAAACAGAATGAGCTCATGTTCCTCAGAGCCAAGTTTCGACGAGTTCGAGGTTCCTCTAACTCTGAGTCCTTCCACTTGATTGATCCCGAAGGAAGCGCTGGCCAAGAGCTCAGTGTCTTCTTTTTTCGCTCTAGGTGACCACCCCATGCTACAGTAACTGAATAACTTCCTTTACTTTTTGAGCATGCTTGATTGTATAGCATGGCTTTATCGATCCTTCGAACCTGTTGAGCTCATTTGGGAGGAAATATATTTTCAATCATTTTAGCCGATGGATATTATTGGCTTTTTTCTTCCTCCTCTTCCAGTGCAAATTATCAATACGTATAAAGATGATGAATTAGTTCTTGTATGCATGGTATGGTAGTCGCTGGTGTGAATGATCGTCGTCGTCTTCATTAATTTGGTTATCTGATATCGCTAGTATTATTAGTTATAAGATGCCGTGTATGGCCGAAAGTGTTAATAATAAGGAACGAGCAAGTTTAAAACTGATGAGCTAGTGAGTGTCATTTAAAGCTTACTTATCGTTTATAAGTTCTTTTTTATTCTGTGGGTCAGGACATCATGGTTGCTCTTTTTTGGCATTTGAGGAATTGATCACAACTTCAATAACAATATTTACTGCTGCTTCGGCTACCCCCACATCTGTTTCATGTCACAATAACTTCAATTTGTCAATTGTACCCCCGGCCGACTTTTCATTCATGCCAAAGAAATATTCTCTTCAGGTGATTCTTGTTGCATTGTTGACCTCCATTAATTTCTTCGACTTTATAACTTGAAGATGCTTCTTTTTATGTATATCTGGTAATTGATAAGTTATTTGGTGAATAGATAATAACATTTACAAAAATAGAAACAAGCATAGTAACAGCTTCAAAATTATATCATACTTGAGTTATTCTATATTCATCTGCAAAGGATGTCTTAAACTGCCAGTTCATGATATTCTCCGCGTTGCTATTATTGCATGAAAATGAAATGATGAAAGCGATCTCGGAGAAATCATAACATATACATGCTGCTTTATCACTTCTCCTTTGAAAGTAATTTATCGTAAATAACTGAAAAAATATCAAAATTATATAAAAGGAATGGAGTTGAGAATTATAAAGACAAGTAAAATAACTAGAGACTGAAAATAAGAATAACTTAAGTTAAATTTATTAAAATTTTTAAACTTTGAAGAGAACAACTGTACATAAAATTATTCATGGTTGCGTTAATTACTAGAAAATATGGAGCTATTGGGTTAAAATGTAGGACAGAGTAGAGATATACAGTGGAGTACAGGTCAATTATGATTAGATTCTTTTTTAAAAAAAATAGAGAGAATGATTGGAAAAAGTATGTAAGAGAGAACAAAAGGAAATAAAGTAATTGGGTCTTTTGGACCTTTAATTTTTAAGGATGAGAGTTAAAGTGCTAAAGTAAGCGTGGAAGATATATTACAATAAGAAGTCTCGAATATGTGGGGGTATTTTAAAATGGGTATCTGAATCTACTTTATGTGAGTTGTTTCTGATTCTTTATGTCGCTTCACTCGGAGAGGGACACGAAGCCCTGGAAAATAAAATTGAATTAAATTGAATCAAGTCTTCCATTTCGTCATCCCCCTAATTGAAAGCATCACTTCTTTTTTGAATGCATTATCTCGCCAAAGACTGTCCTCAAATTAATGGTACCATTGCATCTTCAATAATAAACAAAGTTAATCAGAACTAAGACCGATGAAAAAAGAATAAAGTGGTTCTCAGGTTCTAGATAGCATATAAAATTAAAGTTTATTCTGTATGATACACTAAACATTTGAAATTAAAAACTAGCTCTCAATCAATAGGATTTGGTCTGATAGAGAAGAAGTTAATCCTTCATAACACAACAAACATAGATTCAAGTTCTCGTTAGAAGAGGTGCTCCATTGATCTCTCAAATAAGATTGCCTTCAATAAAAAAATGCACATGCATAATAAAAAAATTGGCTTTTTCTGGGAACATGTTACATTTTGCCATTCCTCTAGACGCCGTACGTCGTCTCTGGTTACTCAACAGTAAAAAAGACTCAAGAATCTTTATTCAAAAAGATAAAAAAGACTCGAGAATCTTGCCGTTTTGATTTTTTCTTTTTCCGATTATAATGGAAGTTTATTTAGGTCCTTAGATTACATTTTTTTCATTCTAGATTCTGCAACTTTCACATTTCAGGTCTTCAGTGGATATTTTTCTGGGAATATTTTACAGTTTGGCCCGGTGATCGAGAAACTTCACGCACTGGTTAATAAAAGACAGTTTCATAAAACATGATAGGTTACAGACTATCTTTGCATGAAATGATTCATTTTTAGAAAATTTTGCCTTTTGGCTTCTTCTTTATACACAATACAACATAATCCATACATATCCATCAATGTTGCGTTCTACAAATTGCAAAACAATATTAATAAGATGGTGACTTCCCACAAAAAAAAAAAAAAAAACAGGGAAAAAAAAGTCCTCAAGAAAAGAGCAGCGTCAATCCAAACCTCAAGATATAGATTGTGCAGAACTCAGGCCTGACCTCTCATAAATAAGGAAGAAAACAAAACCACGCAGATGCCAATCCTAAAAATCCTAAGCCGTTGAAAATCTGTATGCTGGGTGAGTTACCTGAATGAATCAATAAAATATGCATCAAGATTTCCAAGATCACCATATTTGACATCAATCTTGTTACTTCTCAAGACATGAATCAAAACTATTACCTAATTGAAGATAGTTGTTCCTCACGCTCCACTCAAAATCCCAATGCTTCCTGTCATTTTTAAGTGTCCAATAAGACCATCCAAAGGAAGCTGCGTTATATACTTCTAACTGTGCCCTTCCAAAATTTTGGTAATCCGTTTGAGATCCGTTCGTCAAGTTCCACTCATTAACCCATTCCCCTGAAATCACTTCCCGTACAAGTTACGATTCCTTCTTCAAAGGGATATTGAACAACAGTTACTGTCCGTGAGACTCAACTTACCCACATAAACAAGAGGGCCACTCCCATCGTTCAAGGCCTGCAGCTGAGCTTCCCTACTTTCGTATATGAATTCGATATTATCCGCAGCACTCATATTAGCGAAAAAATTGTCGAAAAGATTGTAGAAATGCAAATCCACAACCACATTGTGAGATCCTATGTCAGCCTGATAAAGTTCCATAGGATCTGCATTGCCAATTCTTTGGCAAACTATTACATAAGCTGATGGTGAATATTTCCGAACAATTTGGTAGCCTTGTTTGTAATATGAAACTAAAATATTTAATGGAACAGTGGCAGCTGATGGTTCATTTAAAAGTTCAATTCCCAGCAAGGCAGGATGTCTTGCATATCTGCACATAAAAAATCAGTGTTCAGCATGACAGCAAACTCACCGAGCAATTGCTTAACCATACAGCTATAGTATCCAGTAAAGAAGGTTACTGCACTCAGGGTAGAAGTTCAGTGACAAAAATATCAGCATCAAAGTTTCACATGATGATTTTCACGAGAAAGCTATGATCGACAAGTACCAAAAACTATGGCTGTATCTAAAGCAGCAGGGGGAACGTTATTTCACAGCCAGGTAAGGTGGAATGGAGCTCCTAACTCTGAGAGAAGTGCCATTACTTTAGTCTCCACATACTCATCAAAATCAAAGTATTGTTATAAAAAATGTGTCCCTTGAGAGTTGTTGCTAGAAGTCACGTTAGTGTTCAGTATATTAATCAAGCATGAAAACATATTAGCCTGCAGACATCGATCAAGCAAGAAATATCCATGAAGTCCAAACAAAATTCTGAGGCACATGGAAGTTGCAATTCAGTGTCAGATATTTCACAACTCGTTCACACTCAGAAGATACCTGGAAACTAAAAAATCGATCACATGCAATGTCTCTGCAATGTAATCCGGATCTGTGGGCCAGCCCGTAAATCCATCTCTGCTTGCACTATGTTCCATCCCATTTTGGGAACCAGGGGCAGCATGCAGGTCAATTATGCATTTTATGTCATATTCTCTGTAACATGATAACATTGGAAATTGTCAGATAGATACAAAAGTGCCCACAATAGTAAGAAAATACAGTGAAGGAAAGACCAACTGCGCCCATGAAAATGCATTGTCTAAAGCTTCAAGACTTCCTTCAATAAACGGAGCTGGAGGATCAGGATCAAAAGCAATCCACCAACCAACTGGGATCCTCACAGTATTGATTCCGTGTCTATACAGAAAGTTGAAATCCTCTTCAGTGACAAAGCTACTTCTATGTCTCTGCAGTTACAGAATGCCAAAGGATCACTTGGGAGCAAAGACTGCTATTTCATCTTTCTGGGTTAGAAACTCTACATATACCCTAAAGAGGGAACTAAATAAACATATAAATTTTCTTGACATACAAAATCCAAAGAGGTAGCTTATACTAGCTATGCGCTAGATAAACGGTACAATAAGATTTAAAAACTGTCGATATATACAAAGAAGCTGACTTCATTTGCTAGATAAATGGGGTGAGGAGTTAAAAAGAAATACATGGAGAGTCACATTTACAATAAAATAGGTTTCATTGCTTAAGGCCTTAAACTTTTTCAATGTACGACATAAAATAAATAAAAAAAGGCTATTTCACACACAAGAATGTTTAAAACCCTTCCCATCACCGACCCCCAAATGAATAATTCTAAACCAAACATATTCCTCTGCTAGGTAATACAGGCGCACCAAAAGCATTTTTGACCCCTGGAAATTGACAGACGTGTAAAGAGAACATATTTGCTACATGTGGTTTTACCTTAAGAACCTCTTTCGCACGATCATGACCATATCCATTTGCTAACTGGTAATCTCCATGTATAATATTTTCTACAATTGTCATTTCAAATGTGGCATCATTATCATCCCATCCTGGCACACCTGGATAGTCTGCTGTAAGCTGACCACCTGTTGTAGCCTATAAATATCAAGTATATATAATCAGGATAATTTGATTTTAAGTTATCACCATGATGGTTTACACCGTAAAATCATTCCATATGGCAATTCAACATCTCTTAATATAGTATTCATGCATAAACCAAATATTAGAGATTTGAACAATATATCAGGACCACAGTGGAAGGTAAAAGTCATGAATGTCAGGGAGCTACAAAATACCTAACAATCTGACTTACCTTAAGAGTCTAAAATTAATGCCATGCAACAGAGCCACTTGTAACAAACATTCCATGACAGTAAAACTAACAGAATAAGTTGCTGACTGATTTGACAAGAAATGAAAAACAACTGCAGTATTTAAAGATTTTGAAAAACTCCATAAACCTAGAGCCTGGTAAAAAAATATACAGAGACTGAATTTGCATGGTAGAGTCCATGAACACATTGGGGACTGTTCCGAACAACATTGTTATACCATCTTACATTTATTATTCTGATAAACATAGTGCCAGAAGAATGCTATAACAACACATGAACATAATTTACATGCAACCAAAAATAGTCTCCTTTCACTATATCTTCAAGAAGAAATCAAGAGAACCAGTACCTGCAGATATGCTCCATTCTTAGTTTTAATATGAATTTTATCGTTCTCTTTCCTTTCAATGGAAAATGATTCTGATGTTGAAGGTAATTTTGCTGTTGCCGAGACAGAGCACCCATCCCCATTGCATGTTAAAAATTGGCCTTGGGAGGTGCGAAATTGAAATTCAAATGCTGACAATCTCCATAACTGCAAAGGGAAAAGATAAATCATTTGACTCTTCATACACCACTGTAACATAACTTCAAAATTCACAATATCATCATTCAGTTTGAAGCCCTGCTGAAGTTACTGACGGTTATTAAATTCAATTATGCATAAAATTACACAGTAAAACAGCAAGTGAAAAAAAATTGTGAAAATGAGAGGAAATGAAAGTCATAGCTACCATCATACAAGTATCCTCTATTAGGATAGCACAACATAAATCAATTCTTCAGTCAATGACAAAAAAAGCCAGAAATTCCAATTTTTTTCAACAAAGAAATATCTCGGTACTCAATAGTCCTGGTTAACAGCTGGTCTGTCAGTGCTTCCTTCGTCTTGGATCCTAAAAGTATCTGAACATTGAAATACAGAGAATATGGGGTGGGAACATTTAATCCAACCCCTATTTTTCTTTATGCCACTTGGTGCAAGACTAAAAACTCATCCTTTTGTCATTGTCTAGTGCACTCAAACTATCAAACACTGATAACTTTGTAGCAATTAAGAATGATCCAAGTGACAGGCTAAACTTCATCTTTCATGACAAGAATTTATTGGTTGTCTTGAAATTTGAAGCAGTCTATACGGGTCAGGTCTTGTTTGATTTTCACTACAAAAATGAGCACTGTTTATTATGTGTTCTTACTAAGCGTCACTTGTTATCAGAAGTCGACCAGGTTAGTTGCAATAGGACACTTCAGTTGGCACTAGCCGTAATAAGCCTTTTAGATTGATTAATGTTATAAATTCAAACTGATGACTTTAAATAGAATTCTAATGTAAATGCAGAACAAGATAATAAGATTCAAAATAATAGCTAGTATGCCGATTTTAAAACGTACAATCAACGCCAGATGCTCATATATGATCTAACACTTGCATAGAAAATTAATACACGAAGAAATAGTTACCGTCTTACCCTGAAGGTTTCCCATGAAGATGGGACGTCTCTGTCAACTGAAACATTCATGCCACCCCCATTCTCAGCAGACACATACTTCTGCAAAGTCACTGACTTAAGTTGAACCTCCGTTCCGTCCTACATTACCAATGCCAACTTGCGGATCAGCCGGATCAATCAGAAAAAATCCCTAGAGGACCGATCACAGAATAGAACATGAAAATACAAATATGCAGTAGCTCACAATCATGTCTCCATTGGCAATGCCATCGAACAATGAAGGCTTAATCCAACCTTCAATGACCAGCCACCCTCCTAAATTCACGCCTCTAACTTTGGAATCCCCACGCAACCCCTCCACTTGAACGAGAGAAACAAGTAAGATACTTGGTTTATAGTATTATATCCAGACATTCAGAATGAATTAGGAAGATAAATACCAGACAGGTAAGAAAATTTAAGTAACAAAAATTTACCCGAGTATACTCCGGAAGTGAAGAGCCAACAACAGAGTAGAAATGCGCATGCCCATTTGGTAAAAACAAGTTCCATCAAGAATGCGGGTCACAAAATCTCCCGAATGCGAGAATGCAAAATCCTTCATACGAAAAATGAGAAGCCCCTGTTGAGCACGGAAGGTTATTCAATCCCCCAAAAGTCCCACTTGGATGAATATTGACAATTCCTTCCTTATCACTCAATTGATACCAAATTCACCTTTGCAAACAAGCATAAAATTATCATTTGGTTTTGGGATTGCTTCTCTTAATTACTTAGTTTTGAGCTGGTTCTGACAATATTCATATAGTCCAGAAAAAACAAGCCTACTAAAAAAGAAGAAAAGAATAACCTAGTGTTTGAAAACCTATCAAAGAAAAGAAAAGGCGTTCACATGTAGTTTGTAATCTGAAAAGAGAAAGGATTGGAAAGAAAGAAAAAAGAAACTTTGCTTGGAGATTTGGAGGTGCTTGTAGGAATTAGGAACAGCGATTTTTTAAAAATTAATTTTTTATCACGCGTTTTACTGGTAGGAGGAAAAAAAGGGTGAAATGGTGCTAGAATAGTTGGATTAAGTCGATGACATGGTAAAAGGCACATCAATATTGGACAGGGTATAAGTTCGGCAGCAGCGAGCAACTAAAAGGTAAAGAAAAAAATGGAATGCTCTGTAGGCTCAGCAACTCCTCCAGATACTTGTCACTGCTTCAATGGATTGATCAACAGCCTCCTCTGCTTCTAATGACCGTTTATAAAGGCTAGAAGCTTTAAACCTTTCTTGTCCATTTTCATTCCCTTAGAAACACCGAGACCTTTCTGTTTCGACGTCACTTCATGTTTTTTCCTTCTGTGGTGTGGGGGTGTTAACAATTAAAAAAGACGATGCCGAAGCTGAAGAAGGTAAAATTCGACAATTCAGAGGCGAGTTGAAGTTGCGACTGCGATGGACGACGGGGACAAGGTGCTTTTTTTAAATTTCTCATACAAAAAACAGATCTATCGTAATTATAATTATATCTTTTCCCTTCCCCCCTTCTCATTCTCAACTAGATAGTTCTTCCATTCTTCCATTCTCCCGGTTTAAGTTTGAAGAGCTACTGTGAATTGGGATGAGTTCAAGCTATTTTGATCCATTTTACTGTTGTTATCTAAATGCGGAGCCTGATTTTTCAGTTAATGATAATAACTGATTTTTTTTTCTCCGTTGAACCTAGTTTAAAAAAAAAGTAATTAGAGGTATATGTGTTTCTGAAGTAAAAATTTAATAAATTTAAATAAATTAAGAAAAATATTTTTGTGTAAATATCAGGATATTGAAATTTGAAAGAAACACATATCTCAATAAAATAATAAAAATGATTTTAAAAAATAATAAAAAGGACATCTGTCTAAATAAATAAACAGTGACATGATTTTAATTTTTAATTTATTAAATGGAACTGTGGAGTACAATTTCAGGGTTGTCATACATAGCAAGAAAGTGCGGAGAAAAATGCAGGGGATGGATACTCGAGGAAGCAAGGAATGATTAGAAAAGGTTCATTGAAATGTTTTAGAAATAAAAGAAAAGAAGTGAAAAGGTTCTTGCTGGCTAGAGATGAATTTCCATCCTATTGAGATTTTGTATGAATGTCACGAGAGATCTTTTTAATTTAGAAAATGACATCCTCCTCACTGCCAAAAACTTTGTCTAGATGACTCCATCATTATCCACACTAATTAGGGAATAACAATTGATTTTATTTATCCCCCCACTAACATGGAGGATAAAAAAGGTGGATCAGTGGCAAGTTTTAAAACGAAAACACTAGCAGCGTAAATTTTACTGTGTTTGGATTTCAATTAATAAAAATTAATTAATAAAATGTGATGATAATTTAGATAATATTTTTAAATTTATTTTGACAAGTACATATGTCTGAATAATTTTTTAGAGTCAATTATAAAGATAAAAAATAAAAAAAATGTTTAAATATTATGAATTGATTCTCAAATAAAAAAATAATTTTTTTTTAAAATGAAGTTTTACAAGTGAAATAAAATTTTATAAAATTAAAAATGTTTAGATAAATTTATAAAATTATAATTTTGTCTCAAAATTTATTCCAAATGGAAATCCAAGCAGACTTATTATATTGACGTCAATGCAATTCTAAAAGTAATAAATAATAATATCAAAAGGTGTACTGAGACAAGGAAAAAATCAAAGCAATGATAGCATCCGAGCTGCAAATCAACCGCCACTTGTGGTTATTTACAGACGAATCCCTTTGTTCCTTCAAATTACAGGTGTTCAGAGAATTTTATTGGGAGAATTGCACTGCGGGTCCTGAAAAAATAAAAAATTATACTCTAAACTCAATATATTTTAATATTGCACTACAAGCTAAGGGCCTTTGTTGAATTTTTTTTTAAGAGTAAAAATATAATTTTACCCTTATGTGATTTAAAAACTCAAATCATGCATAATAGGATGTTCATAAATGTACAAGCATGGATATTGTTTATAACAATATCCATGCTTGTCCAATTGATCCATAAGTTAAAATATACATTGCACAAAGCATGTACAACATAATTTCTATTGATGTACAATACGATATTTATAAATTCTCAACATAATATTCATACATATATAGTTGATCTATCAGTTAATTAAATTAAAGTCACATAAAGCATGTACATAACAATATCCACGAATGCACAACATGATATCCATAGATATACAACATAATATTCATACATTCTTAAATAAATGTCTATATATATATATATATATGTTATCTGCATCACTTGTACATTTTATTAAATCTACCGATCAATTAGATATGCCTAGACATCATGTTGCGAATTTATGAATACTGTGTTTGCATCGATGGACATTATGTTGTATATTATCTAAATGTTCAAATCATATAAAGAAAAAACTGTATTTTTGCTCCTAAAAAAAATTGCAATAAGGGCCTTTGGGCTTGCAGTGCAATAGTAGAATTTATTGGGCCTACAATGCAATATTTTGCTCTTTTAAGGCCTATAGTGCGATGCCTCCAGTTTTATTCTTTGGGATGGGCTCTTTTGTTTTTTTTGTAACTACAGGATGGCTAATTTAAGTCTAAATTGAAATCCAAATACAAGCTAACATATGATATATATCTAATGCTAACGCATGGTGTCCCCATGATGCCATACTAAAATAACCCACCATGCCGCCTTGTTTTATGGATTTATCTGCATCTAAAATTCTATCTGTCAGAATAAAGCCTGATGTGAGTGAAGAATATGTGCAGATACTTGCAAATTAATGACTTTTACTATTCACTCACATGTTACGTATCATATCAAGCCAAACAATATCAAAAGAAAAAGAAAAACAAACCACCATTTTCAAAGAGTAAATCCACTTTATAATAATTTGAGAGTCAATTGTCATGGATCATTTTTCTCTTTTTAGAAAGCTAACTTGCTAGGATGTGCAGCGCACTCGCTTATACGTCTAGAACCATTCTCGATTCAATCCGTGATGCTCTCGTCATGAATGGCCTACCAACTTGGCAAGCTTGTGCCTAATTCTGATACCATCTTGTCATGAAATCAATATTATCTCTTAAAAAATCTAACCTATTGAAATGTGGAACGCACCTGCTTATATACCCAAGACCCTCTTAGGTCCCTTTGATGTGGGACATGATATCAAGGTACGTAAAACCGGACCGGTCATGGCACTGAGTCACGGGCTAGTGGTTCAATTAGGGTTGAACCAGTGGCAAATTGATCATAATTAAAATAACATAATTTAAATAAAAAGACATTAATTATAAAAAACATTCAACAAAATTCAATCACTCAAAAGTCTAATAGTAATAAAATATAACACTTTAAATATCTATCATTACAATTACAACTCTTCAATCTCAAAAGTTTAGAGAAGAGATAGAGATAGAGCTGGAGAAGAGACGAAGATTGAGTTGGAAAAGAGACAGAGAGTCAGAAACTAAGCTGGAGAAGAGATGGAGATAACAGAGACAGAGATAGAGTTGGAGCCTGGAGAAGAGATGCTGATTAGGTTAGGGTAAGAGAGGAGAGACACAGATGAAAGGCCGAACTAAATGCTGTTTGAAAATCTGGATTGGACTTAGCATGCTCTACCTCTAATTTCTCATTTTTTGACTTCAGTTTCACTTTTTTTTGTTATCTTATTTTTGAACTCAACACTTTAAAAAATCAAAAATAAAAAAAATCTCCTAAAAAAAATAACCCGATTGACCTAGTCAACCCATCGGGTTATACCGGGTTGATCAGGTTACACTGATTCATTTCCTCACCGGTTTAGGAGTAAACCCAGACCGGACAAGGGACCGGGTCACCGATTTTCGGGTTGACCCGGCTGGTCCGGTCCGGGTTTCAATACCATGCATGACATAGTGCTTAAGAAATAAGCAATAAGCATGTCGTTCAATGTTTGATACCTGCTTGCAAATGCCAATCAATTTTGGTCATTTTCTTGATAAATGTATCATAAACAGTCTTGGCCAAATCCTAAATAAAAAATAATTAGTTTCTTATAGAATTGGTCTTATTGCTAAAGGGAAATAACACAAAATGATTCCACGCAAACAAAGGAGAAGGACAAAAATATAGCATGGGAATTTTTTTTTTGTATAATTTTTAGGCCTGCATGCAATGATCAATTACTTTTGGGCTGACCGATGTATATGACCTTCAAAGGAATGTGGAAGCACAAGAGCCTTTGACCTTAGATGATAGCATACAAGAATCAGAGTAAAATAGAGAGCCGAGAAAGAAAGGATTTGTTTTCAACTACAAAGCAACCTTCCCTATAGTGAGCAAGCCTTTTCTACATACAACTTTCAGTGCGTTTGTGAGAGATACATGACATGCCCCTCATAATTCATGAAAATGCAACTGACTTATATATCATTTTGTTCCATTCTCATTAACCCATTTTTAATTTTCTTCTCTAACTGATTCTAACAACCAGAAACATCCATGAAACTATCTAAGCTGCGATTTCTACTTTCAATAAGTTTCTTGATCGAGAAAAAAGGAATTTTGCACTCACAGCACATCAAAATTTATCGGTTATTTAGTAACAAATAATTTTTTTGAGAAAAAAGACAATACAATTCCTTCAACTTATGTAAATGACAATTTAATCATTTGAAAAGTTATAATACCAATGATGTCCCTATGAACCTCTTCATCAATGACTTTCTTAGAAAGAAGACCATTTTACCATTATTAATAAATTGTAATTTTTTATTCAATTCTTGTAATTCTTTGAAGAAAAGTTATGATTTTTTAAGTAAAAGATGTGAAGAGAATTTATTATTTTAAGAACTTATTTTTTTATAATAGAAATTATACTCGATAAATTGTAATTTTGTATTCAACTCTTGCAATTCATAGAATAAAAATTATTATTCTTTAAATAAAAGTTACGATTGGGACTTATTTTCAATAATAGAAACTACACTTTACAAGTTATGATTTCTTGTTCAATTCTTATGATTTACAAAATAAAAATTATAATTTTTTAAATAAAAGTTGTGATTGAGTCTTTTTTCAATAAGGGTAAAATGATATTTTTTAAAAAAAATTATTGATAAAAATTTTTCTAAAGATTTTATTAGTATTATGATATTTTATAAAATTAAATTATTATTTATATAATTAAAAAGAATTTTATTGTTGGTTTTCAAGGAGCTTTTTGAGATGGTAAGAATCTTTTGAATTAAGTGGTATCTTGATTCGCTAACACGCAAGCAAAGAATTTTTCAAAACAATGAATGAATACATTATAAGCAACTTGAAGCGTAATTCAAATAGGAATAATTATGACAATTTCACGCTTTTCCCTCTTTACCAACCTCCCCCTCAAGGGCCGTGACCCCCCAACAACCTCTTTCTCTCCATTAACAAATAATCAAACATTAGCCTGAACCAGAGAATTGATCCCGGAGCAGTCACCGTCAAGATGATGGCTCTTACAGTTTCGCAGAAGCCTGTCGGCGCCAGCTTCGATCTCATGCAGAACTGCGATCTTCCTCCACCCTCCAAGGTTTTCAAGGGCTCAGATAATAAGCTCATGCTGTCCATGAACCGTAGGCCCTCTAACATTTTGGTTAAACGAGAATACACCGGCGAATTAGTCAATGACCAAAATGACTGTGACGGTAACCCCGATGTCTTGGAAATTCTGAAGGCGCTGCGATCATCGCAAGCACGGGAGAGAGAAGCAGAAAAGAAATCTGCGAGTCTGATCAATGAGAGGGACTGTCTTTCCAATGCTTTGATGAAGGAGGCGATGCAATTGTATGCGTATCAGCAGCAGGTGAGGTTGCTTGAGTTTCAAGTTTCAAGCCTCCAGCAAAAAATGTTTCGTGGATTTGCCACATCCGAGGAGGATGAAGGATCGACCAGGGAAGACGACAACGAAGAAGAAAAGATAAATCTGGTATGGATTCTGGCTTTGGCTCTTTCTTGGGGAATGGGAGTGGGCACCGCAATTGCTTGTAGATACTTTTTGTGACTTACTTATATGCAACGATTTAATTACCGAAAGAATCAAAAGTAAATGTGTAAATTGTTGAAGGAAGGAAGGAAGGAAATATGCTTTATTTTGAGTTGAATATAATTTGTGATATTGATATTTACAGCCAGAGAGGAATCATATAAAATTTTATTTGACTTAGCTCGGTGCTAAATTATTCACAACAGCAAGGCATGGTGTTGCAAGAAGCAAATATTTCCACTAAAATGGACCCACCACAAATCAATATTCGAGCTATATATATCATCAGAGGGGTAGTTGACCATTTTTTGGGCTTCAGAATGTTGCTCATAGCAACCACAAATTTTACATGTATCGTCCTCTCTTTAATTATTGGTGTCAAAAGAGGGACTTTTTCAGTGATTTCCAAACCATAACCTTTGAGCCCAACGTACTCAGCATGACTGTTTGTCATTAATCTCATTGTCTGAACACCAAAATCTCGCAGTATCTACAGTAGATTGCATCATGCTGTCAGCTAAGTAATGACATTTATGCCCCAACATAAATCAAGTCTCGTGAATTGGAAAGTAAAGAAGATATTACCTGTGCACCAATGCTACACTCACGAGAATTAACGGTTAACGGTAGTTTCTCACTAGTTTCAGAGGTCCCCAGCTCGTTTTCTCGTGAGTTGTAGGTATGGAGCTTGTGGCCTATGTCAAGACCATTACCCTCTTGTCCGCCTAGGTACACCAGGACACCCCTACCAGCTGCTTCAATTTGCTCCATTGTAATTGCTAATTTGTTTCCACAGTCGCATCTTGCTGACTCAAATATGTCGCCAATCGGACATTTTGAATGTACCCTTACAAGTATATCATGACCATTTCCTATCTCACCCTGTTAATATTAAGAGCATGTTGTGGTTACTCGCAGAAGAACTCTGGTCAACCGTGGAAAATTCGCCAAGGGAGGTGACTCTAAGGCATTTTCAATAAAATTCCTAGGCTAGGCGTATAAAAGCCCATGCAGAGATGAGGCGGAGCCACAAGAATAAATCCCACTATCAAACACTATTATAACCTTCTAGAGTTTCTGCTATAATCACATGAGTGAATCTCAATTCAGTTGTTTGAAACAGAGAAAGAAAGAAGAACCTTTGGGTTGTATCTAAAGTCTAGAAGAGGACCACATTTCCACTAAAACTTGGATACCAAAAGCACACATAAAAATCAAATTATGACGTGAACATTCTATACTTCTGGTGTGATAATAAATTCGCCGAATATAAAATGAGAGTTTTAAGTTGACAAGTCAATTTTGGGTGAACTGCTTACTTTAACCATGCCTATATGTTCAATCCCATCTAGACATGACCGATAGCAATAAGCTTTAAAAAGTCCCCACATGATAGGTATCAATGCAGATGAAGCACACCCTACCAACTTGCTTCTTTTTTTTGGGTATCTGCTAGTTTAAACCATGTAGATATTAGACATCATGCACTTGTCACTTAAATTCAAAGTCTCCAAAGTCAATAGTCCTTATGTGATCTGTGGTGCTGATTTCCAAATTGCAATTTGATTAGTGGAGAGTCAAAAATTCCAAGAAGGTTGGAAGACCTGAGAAAATATAAGGCAATGTGCAGACCTAAAATTGAGCTGAGAAAATTAAAGTTTGACCATTTATGAGATATACCTGATTAAATCAGTGACAGTGATGGATATTATTCTCAAGTCATGTTCCTATGCAAATTGCCGGAGCATTGGTAACCTAGCCATTGAACCATCATCGTCTACTATCTCACATAGAACTGCTACAGGTTCTAAACCCGCCAGAACAGCAAGATCAACGGAAGCTTCTGTATGTCCAACTATTTTAAGAACCCCTACCTCTCTGCACTTCAAAGGAAAGATATGTCGAGGCCTATTTGAAATCTTCATATCTGGAATTTCTTGATGCAAGAGCCAACACTGTCACCGCCTGTCATGAGCAGATACTCTTGTTGTAGTCCCCTTCTTTGCATCCTATATGCAAGTAAATTAGCATCTAAAATCAAATAAAAAAATAACCTGCTCTTCACACGGAAAAGAAAATTTGTCATGTATATCAGTTGGGGCTTGGGGTAACATCATTAACAATTAGGACAACGACAATGACAATTATGTACCACTATCATAGTAAACGCAGTGCACAGTTTTTTGTCATTCTCTGCGTGTGTCACCATCAATGGGAGTTTCAACCTCTCTAAGTCCTCTCCTTTCATGCTCACACACACTATCCCAGTTCCATGCTTCACAATAAATGCCATTGCTTCTGGTGCTATCATTGATGCTGCCATTATAAGATCCCGTCATCATTTTCTCTATCTTCATCGTCTACCACAATAACTAACTGCAAAATTTGTCCCAGAGTCATATTAGAGAGAAGGATATTTAAACATCCCCCGGGAGGGGAACAAAATCGTTGAAAAGGATTAACCTTTCCCTGGCGAATATCTTCAATGGCATCTGGGATGGGAGAAAATTCTTTGTGAGACTATCCAAATCATGTTCATTGATATTACAATAGAATTCCCTTGTTATAGGACTCGTTTGTTCTGAAAGTGTTCCAAAAGCAATTGCATCTAATTGCTGCAGGATTTGTAGTGGGTCAACCGCCTCTTTCAATGCCAAAGGGTCTTTTTCCAATTCAAGGCGAGATAGAAGATCTCCATCCCCAGATATTATAGCTCTTACTTTACCTTCAACCTTGAAACTGAAACCCAATCTTCTCACGAATCCCTTTCCATTGAGCGGAGGCACGCAATGCACAATGCTTTGTCTAACACACAGAAGAATCCATCGTCCGATTACATGTGAAATACCAATGATCATGAATGGCATACATTATTAATCGATTGGATGCAACATGGTCAATTTTAATATTTAAACGTGCTAGATTTGAAATAAACCATACATATTCAAAATTTGAAATCGAAAGGGCTCAATGTTAACTGGGTAGAAAGCCCAGGACAGTATATACTTAAAAAGTTCCCATGAATTTCTAATTTGTCAGGAATTTTTCCTAATTATCATCACAGATTGAAAGAGAGCACGGCACTGCATGGGCTTATAGTACAAGATTCATAATCCATATGATTAGCTCCTTTCCCTAGGTGTCTTGCGACGCACCTCATAATTTATTGGATACGAATAGCGAAAGAGAATCTGAGAAATATTTTAAAAAAAATAACAACGACGAAAGCTCACTTTGAACAGGTAGGGAAAGCCACAGAAGATATTCCGGAAAGGTGGCTTGCAGTGAACACAAAGGGATCTGCATCGTCTTACTATGCTTCGTTATGTGCTTACCTCATCTAACACTAGCCACAATGTCTGGTAAAGATGTAGATAAAGTGGAAAATGGGTTATTCAGCCTCCATTCAAAGGGAAACGCATCTAATCGTTACGTTTTCACATTTACCTAAGTATTTTCTAATTTCCACCCTCATCTGTTATACTCATCTGTAGAAGATTAAATGGAAAAAAAAAAAAAAAAAACGTTTCTTGATGAGAAGCTCTCGCTTTTTGTGGCCAATACATCAAAGCGCTCTCTGGTCTTTCGTTTTGTCCATTCTCTTTCCTCTGCAGATGCTACAGCAATCTTGAAGCGGCAAACTCATCTTTAACCCATAGCAATGGGGATTCAAACCTTTTAATTACTCTTCCTTGATTTAAAAGAGACAGACTTTAAAGACAAAAGCATGTGAAATCCTTAACAAGTGACGATGGGTTGAATGGATTTTTTTTTTTTTTGAATTTTACAACGTAGACATCGCAGGTGGTGAAATGTAAATTATTGTCAGCTTCTTGCAATATCCAGACCATTCCCTTGGCGTGATTAAGGATTATGAGATTATCCCTTACTCAACCTTATCTAATAAGCCCTCAAATGCGGACAGTTTTAACTTGCTTTCACTCCCCGGAATTATATTCGGCCTCATATGATCAAGGATTGCAGGTGCACTGTATTTAAAACTTCGTTTTTGTTATGAGTTATGACTTGTGAACTTCATTAGGCTGAACCTACGTTTTTGGTATTGTCTAGTTTTCCAAAAGGAACTTTCAATGCCTTTTAGACTTTTAGCTCCACAGCAAAGGTGATATACTGTTGTGGACGTGATAGCTTATAGTTACTAGACACTGTAGTAAATCTCGGGCAAGTAAATTTTGCCCTGGATGCTCATACCCAAAATAAAAAGGGAGAATCTCAATAAGGGCCACAGAATAAGATTAATAACATGCAAAGCCTAAAATATTCTAAAACTTTTTTGCATGCCCAAAAGCCTTAATGGCAATTAATTTTTAAAAAATTTATATATAGGTCCTAGAAAATAAATTTATTTTTATATAAGTCTCATAAAATTCAGAAATCATAATTAGATCTTTTGAGATCTAAATATAATTTAAAATTAAGATAAAAAGATAATAATATCTCTATTAAATATATATATATATATTATATTATATTAAATAATTTACAACTACTTTATCATGATTTTACAACTATAATTTTAACTTTTTATCACTATAATTTTATATATTCAATAATTAAATTGATCAGTTTAACTGTTAAATATATAAAATTATAGTTGTGAAAAGTTGAAGTTATGGTTCTAAACTACTAACAAAGTAATTATAAATAATTACTATTAAACTTTTTTAATAACACATGATTATTCAACTATTAGATATGTGAAGTTATAGTTATAAAAATTTAAAATTATAGTTGTAAATTGTGAAAAAAGTAGCTATAAATTAATTATTTGATTGACATAATATATGTTTAATAGGAATATTATTATCTTTCTAGCCTAATTTTAAATTATATTTATGTCTAAAGAGACTTGGTAGTGGTTTAGTCTAGTCCACAGAATTTATACATAATTTTTCCTTAATTTTTTTCATCAAATGAAAATACATGATTTTTATAAACAAAAAAACTCATAATCATTGAAGCTCTATCACCAACTCCAAAGTTGTCATTGCATGTGAAGAAAGGACCATCGGGCCTAGGGGTGTAAATAGGCGGGTATGGGTCACTCGTGGCCGAACTCGTTACCCGCCCGTTTGTGAGTAAATGGGTGACCACCTGCCCGTGCCCTTTTGTACCCCCTTTTTAAGCGGGTACAAATGGGTATGGGCAGGTGCAAGTGG